TGCTCACCACAAAGCACAGCCATCAGCTACCTCCGCGCCGTCATGGCCGCCGAGGAATACTCGCCCCGCACCCTCCGCCTCACCGAGCACGTCATCTCCCTGAACGCGGCCCACTACACCGTCTGGCTCTACCGGTTCAAGATCGTCCAGGCGCTCGACCTGTCCATCCCGGACGAGATTGAGTGGCTGAACCAAGTCTCGCTCGAGAACCTCAAGAACTACCAGATCTGGCACCACCGCCAGCTGCTCCTGGACCACTACCACGCCCAGATTTCCGCCAACGCCGACGCCGACGCCCTGAAGAAGCTCGCCCGGTCCGAGTCGGAGTTCCTGCGCCTCATCCTCGACGAGGACACCAAGAACTACCACGTCTGGAGCTACCGCCAGTCCCTGGTGCGCAAGCTGGGCCTGTGGACCCCGCAGGAGCTCGCCGCCACGCAGTCCTTCATCGAGGACGACGTGCGCAACAACTCGGCCTGGCACCACCGCTTCTTCCTCGTCTTCTGCGACCCGGCCGCCTCCACCCCGGGCTGCCACGCGACCGAGCACGACCCTGCCGTTCCCGCCGAGACGGTCGACCGCGAGGTCCGCTACGCGCAGGAGAAGGCGGCGCTGGCGCCCCAGAACCAGGCGGCGTGGAATTACCTCCGCGGCGTGCTCGCCAAGGGGGCTAGGCCGCTCGCTTCCGCCGAGGAGTTTGCGGCGCGGTTTGTCGAGGGTGTCGGGGAGGGGGAGGGGCGGGAGAAGGTGCGGAGCAGCCATGCGCTGGTTTTCCTGGCGGATGTGTGGGTTGAGAAGGGGGAGAAGGAGAAGGCGGCGCTGTATCTCTCCCGCTTGGCTGAGAAGTGGGATCCGATACGGGCTGGGTATTGGAATTATAGGAAGCAGCAGATAGCTGCGTGATTTTGTTTTCTTTCTTTTCTTTCTTTTTTTTCTTTTTTTCGATGGTGAGAACTTCAACTCGGAGGGCTAGTAGACATAGGGCAGTTCATCACAGACAGGAGGGTCCTTGAAAGGCTATATACAATACACGGGGAGGCAAGGGAATATGATATATTGCACTGGATTCCCCATTTCCTGGGGTTTCCTCGTTTTCATTCTATTCTTTTTCCTCCTTCTGTTCTCTCCAAGTCACAGAGGTTTTATCCTGCAGTCTCGGTGTGGACCGCCCAAATAATAATGCAGAGTGAAACCCAACGCCTCGCCGGTTTATCCATAGCGCCAAATGAATTGAAAAAAAAAAAAGTACCACCACACTCCCACTGTCCAAGCCAAAATCTTCATCCAGCCGTCTGCCTGTCTTTTCCCTCCATTTACTTTGCGGGTTCGACCCACCCCAGCCTTAACCATGTTCTGGCTGTTCCTCCTAGGCTATTCCGCCCCTCTCAGCTGTGCCTTTCATATCGCCAAAATTTCGAACCAGAGTCTGTCTTCCTCTTTCCGTCACTCCTCATTCAGTCCGTGTACCCCGAGCGATTCACAGCGCCCGAAAGTTCTGACTCATGATAAGCCACCTCCGCGCGCCCTTGGGCGGGTTCCGGACAAACATGTCCCAGTTGGGCACCAGCACGAACACCTCGTTGAAGGTCTTGGCCGGCGCGTCCCTGCCGCGCCCGTAGTACACGCGGCCCGTAACCTGCGTGAGGACGCTGCACTTGGCGCCCGACTTGTCCGGGGTCGACAGCACGTGCGGCGGCGCCGCGAGGTTGTAGTCCGGGTTCACGACGTGGGCGTCGAACGACTCGATCTCGAAGCGTACCTGCGGGGTGGTGGCGGGGGCTTGCCGGCTGGTTGTGGCGGGGGGGTTCGTCCCGTTTGGTGTCGCTCCTGCTCCTCCTGCTCCTCCTGTTGCTCCTGTTGCTCCTGTTGCTCCTGCTGCTGCTGTTGCGCCGTTGGCCTCTCCTTTGAAGTAGTGTTGTTCTAGGAGCGCGGCGTACTCGGCTGGCGAGGTGAGGGGGCGGCCGTTGATGGAGATGTCGGGTGGGTGGGTGTTGTAGGCTGTGGAGGCGGAGACGTAGAATGGTGGCAGGGCGGCAGAGGGTCTGCGGCGGTTTAGGGCGTCGTAGTAGGCGTCTACGAAGATCTTGGCCGCTGGTGTATGGGAGTTGGCATGTTAGTTTGCGCTCGGGCGGAGAACGGAGAGGACGTGGAGGCTATGGAGGACACGGGGGGGCAAAGATGGTTGAAGACGTACTATCGGCTGCCTGTTTTATTTGAGTCTCGCGCGTGGGGAGAGCCATGGTGGAGAGAGGTGTTCGTTTGAGAAGCGGTGTTTGTGAAGGAGAGGTTTCCTTCAGACTTGCTCGGTGTGAATAAGTGGTGGGGCAGTTTTATACAGTACGTGCCTGGAAGCTTTTACAGGGTGACCTGTAAATATACCGTGTTTAAGCCAAGGTACAAGTAAGGTGGACACATTGGAGGTATAGGTACTCTGTGGCTCGCAATCTTATCTTATCTTAGTCGACGGCCCTTTTATCTCTTCGCGACTGAACGACACTATCGTCGCAATGCTTTGAGCGCTCATCAACGTCCGTAACGGGGGACAATATACCAACTTTACAAAATATTGACCTTCTTTTGTCGCCAACGAGTGCGTCTTCTCATCATGACAAACAATGGCTACCTCGAATGCCTCTATCTCCTACAAGCTCCGGTCCCCGACAGCCGCCACAGAACTGGCGCCGCATTCGGGTGCATATATATCTCGCGAAAGAGTCGCCGACGCCTTTGCTCACCCCTCTTAATTCTGGAACTATGCCGTGCTGTGACTGCTTCCGCGTTTCCGTCGTGCATCTCAATCTCAACGAGGATGAGAATGCAAAATATTCGCGGCTCTCATGTGTTCCACGCCTGTGGCATTAACCCGTCGAGCCGAAGATAATCATCTCCGAATCTGCCGCCGCGCGGTTTCGTGGTGTTTGTCTGTGTCTGCTTCGTAGTGCGTATTCTTGCCCATTTTGAACACAGTCGGCAATGGATTCGTCGAGTCCGATCTCCTGTAGAAAGGAGCGGCGACACGATCTTTTGGACGGGAGGAGAAGAAAAAACAACGGTTGATAATCTTGTGTAATGGATGGAGTCTTCAGCCACCCACAACACCCACTCGATTCTGCTCGTACCATCTCCAAGCAGTCTCCAGCACGCCTACCGCATCCCGTCCAGCAGAGAGATCTTGGCCGAGGGCAAGGGCGAGAAGCCTCTGGTGAACCGATCGGAAGGCGTCGCGGTCGGTGTGTGAGAGAGGCAACCTAGCAGCCGTGGTGCGCAGGTACCACCACACCGACTCGTTAGCCCAAGCCCGACCGAGCTTGGCAACCAGGTCCAACGTCCGGGAAAACGTCTCCAACGGAGCGTCGGCATCGCCCGCGAGGCCCTGAACCCCCAAATGGTCGAGAAAAGACCACCCCGACACGTCGTCGTGGTGCGCGTAGCACCAGGAGACGACGCGTTCCCAGAGAAGCCGTCGACGCTCCGCCTCGTCGAGGTCGCTTCGGAAGGTCTTGACCAGCCACCGCGCGTGGCACCAGGCGTAGTAGTTGCGGGGATGCCTCTCGCCCGAGGTTGTGACGACTTGCATGCCGGCTAGGACGTCCACGTCGACGGGCAGTCGGGAGGTGCGGTACTGCTCCATGAGCCAGCGGCGGTGAGACCAGAGGTTCGGCGACTTGGTGTGCCGGTGCAGACGGCTCGTCAGCAAGCTGTCGACCAGCAGTTTTTCTCGCTCTAGGTAGAAAAGGCGTCCTTGGGCGTCGTCGTCCGCGGCGGCGAGGTGGCTCGACAGAACCCGTTTCCTCGTGTTGGCGGCCGTGAGGTGCTCGGCGTCCATGAGAAGCAGGACGGCCGTAGCTAGGTTAACCCCTTCGGCGGCTTCTGGAGTGGAAAGTCCGCGGCCAGCGTGTCTCTTGAGGATCTGGCGCGCAACTACAAAGGCTTGGATAAGGCGTAACTTGGGTACACCGACGGCGTTTTGGTCTCGAAGGAGGACTTGCTCGGCGGGGACCGGGTGGCTGCGGCCGAGTATCTCTATCTCCAAGAGCTCCGGCCCTTCGTGCTGCGTGAGTACCTGGGAAATCTCCCTGAAGACATGGGTCTGATCTCCATTTTTCAGGGAAGCGGCAACTTCTTTTTCAACTGCTCGAGACATGGTCGATCGGCAATGAGAAGAAAAGACAAGGCGACATCCGGTTCATCGCGAGATGGGTCGAGTCCGTTCTGATGTTTGCCAATAAAAAGGACCGATAACTTCGCCCGATTAGTGGAAGTCCTAGATGAACATGGTGGCTGAAGCAGTCTAGGCAGGCAGAAGAAGGTCAATGTGTTGCGACCGCCAGTTATTCCATTGATACCTTATAGAACGATGTTGCTGCGGACAGAATCACTCAACCCTCATACGGAGAGTCGTCTTCATGTAGACGTGCTTTTGATGATTATGTAATGCTCTCGTTGTTGGGTCACGAAGAAATGACAGAGGGAATACACTGTACATGTACACGTTCCATGCAGGTTTCCCTTCAGGTTGTGTCGATAGGACAGGCTTATCGTGCAACGTCATTGGCCCACCACCTACGAAACATAAGTTTCGTTGTACACCATTCATTCCAAGTTTGCAAAGGAAGTCCATCACTGAATAATTACTGTCTGTAATTAATTACCTTATTCACTGAATAACCCTTGGGGCTTCGCGACTTTGAATTCCGCTTCCCTTCACCACCCTCGCGTCTCCCTCCTCGCGCCTCCTCCCCCCGCTACCATAGTCCGTCTACCTCTCCCGAATACCTAGCGACTGTCGCGTCTAGCTCCAGCAAGGCGGATTGGCTCTCTCTGTCGTCCATCTCCCCTGAAAATGAGCTCGCAATAGCTACCATGTCCCATGCCCGACCCAATGGAACCTCCAGTGACGCCGACGCCCTTAGCGGTCGGTCCGGCACGGTGACGTCCTCCGACGAGAACCGGTCCCTCCTCGCCGACGACGCCCTTGCCGACGTTCATGCGAACAATGCGACCGACACCGAGACGCGGGCCGCAAGCCCTCGAGACTCGACAGCTCCTCCTGCCAAGGCCCAGCCCCAGCGCCAGCGCCAGCGCACCCCGAGCCACGTCCATTTCGACCCCAATCCATCCATTATCGAGCCCACTCATCGCTCCTCCTCGTCCTCTCCGAACGATGGACCTCGTCGCGACAGCGGCAGCCTGAGCAGTTTCGACATCGAAGACCCCCTCGACTTCGATAATGACGGCCATGGAGGCCACCGCCACCCCCGGGAACGGGAACAGCGTCACCCGCTACTCACCGACATCGAGGCCCCCTCCGTCACACTCGCCAACACGCCCTGGGGCGGGGGCGACGACGAGGACGTGCAAGAATGGGCCGACCAGGAACTCCGCCGCCCCAAGTCGGGGCAGCGCATGGCCTTCATGAACATGGCCAACTCGATCATCGGCGCCGGCATCATCGGCCAGCCGTACGCCTTCAAGCAGGCCGGCCTGCTCGCCGGCCTGGTGCTCCTCGTCGGGCTCACCTTCGTCGTCGACTGGACCATCTGCCTCATCGTCATCAACAGCAAGCTCAGCGGGAGCAGCAACTTCCAGGGCACCGTCGAGCACTGCTTCGGCCGCCCGGGCCTCATCGCCATTTCGCTGGCCCAGTGGATTTTCGCGTTTGGCGGCATGGTTGCCTTTGGTGTCATTGTGGGGGACTCGATCCCGCACGTCCTGACGGCTATTTGGCCCGGCCTGCGGGATGTGCCTGTCCTGGGGCTCCTGGCGAACCGGCAGGTCGTCATCGCCGTGTTTGTGTTGGGTGTAAGCTATCCTTTGAGTTTGTATCGGGATATAGCAAAGGTACATACAAACACCTGTGTATCTCATTGATACGACGCATATAGAACCCCCTCCTCCCCTCCTCCCCTTCTTCCGCCTAGAATACGCCGGCTGACCGTGGTTACTTCCTCTCCAGCTGGCCAAGGCGAGCACCATGGCTCTTGTGAGCATGGGGGTTATTGTGGTGACGGTGCTCGTCCAGGGTGCGCTGACACCAAAGGAAGAGAGGGGGTCGTTCACCCCCAACTTGCTCACCATTAACAGCGGCATCTTCGAGGCCATTGGCGTGATATCCTTCGGTAAATGCCCTCCCACTTCCCTAGCGCTCTTCCCGTCTCTTCTTCCTGCTGTTCGTTCGCCCATGCCCCATGCAAGGCGTAGACTGACCCGCCACACCTTGCTTCCTAGCCTTCGTATGCCATCACAACTCGCTGCTCATCTACGGCTCCCTCAAAACGCCCACCATCGACCGCTTCTCCCGCGTGACGCACTACTCGACGGGCATCTCCATGGTCTTCTGCCTCCTCATGGCCGTCGGCGGCTTCCTCGTCTTCGGCGACCGCACGCTGGGCAACGTGCTCAACAACTTCCCCGCCGACAACGTCATGGTGACGGTGGCGCGGCTGTGCTTCGGCCTCAACATGCTGACGACGCTGCCGCTCGAGGCCTTCGTGTGCCGCGAGGTCATGCTCACCTACTACTTCCCCGGCGAGCCCTTCAACATGAACCTGCACCTCATCCTCACCACCAGCCTCGTCGTGTCGGCCATGGTTATCAGTTTGCTGACCTGTGACGTTGGCGTCGTGTTTGAGCTGGTGGGCTCGACGAGCGCTTGTGCCATGGCGTACATTCTTCCCCCGCTGTGCTACATGAAGCTGGCGTCGCGGTCTTGGAGGACCTATGTGGCCGGGGCCGTGGCGGTGTTTGGTAGCCTGGTGTTGGTGATCAGCTTGGTGCAGGCGGTGTGGAAGTTGGCCAACAGTAAGTGTCGTCTGAACCCGTTTCGCCCCCCTTTGCCAACTGCGGACTTGGTCCATTGGTTTTTGTCGCGTTTTGTCACTGACGGAGATTATTAGGCGACGGAGGTCCAGCTAAGTGCATGTAATGAGGTAGGTAACTTTGAGGGTTTTGCTTTTCCACGTCACACAGAAATGGACAATACATGAGTTTGGGGGACGCCAGCAGGCTGTCTGTGTTCTGTATATCTATCCGTATATACACCTTGTACGGTGTGAGGACTTTCCATGGGCGTCTTCTGAATTTGGACTGCAAGGTGAGGCATGGCGAGGCGTAGTGTAAGACTTAAACCTCGTTACCTTAGGTATGGACCTTTTCACGCTGTACGGAGCACTTCTCATGTACGAAGTAGAAGAGCGCAAGTGTCTGGTGGAAGGTCGATATCGGGGCGTGACTTCGGTTCAATTCCGGGTGAGTTTGGCTACTTGATCGGCTTGTACCTGTAACTCTGCCAAGCCCTATTTCCTTAGGATAAATAGTCACAGGTACTTCCCATAGAGGAACCTATAAGCGGATACACGCATAATTTGCGTACCTTTATTTGTGTTCTGGCAGCAACTGTAGTGTCTAAGGTAAGTTGCGAGTTCTTATGCCTAGCGTCTCCACATACCTTAAGAAACGAGCTAAAAAACTACCTACAGCTAAGGTACCTGAGCCTAAGGTACCGACCGGTATATTGGTTTGAGGACGAAATGGAACGTTGTCTTTCCCGGTAGACCTTTCTATTACGGTATGAACAACTGAACAAGAACTCACAAAGACACCGAATGCAGTCACACTCAAGTTGCTCATCTTCCCACCGAAACATTAGCACAGCCCACCTCCCTCTCATGCCCCATACCGTCCATACCCGTGAAGTCATCAGGACACTACCCATTGGCTGGGCCCCCTTGCGCCCCCCAATCATTATCGCCCAGCCAGCCGGCTTAGAACCAGCCCACGAGCCACGAGCCCACGAGCTCACAAGGGGGACCACACCAACAACCCCTCCCCTCCCGCGTGTCGCGCCCCCGCGATCCATTCACTTTACTTCGTACCATGCTCGTTGTGCTACCGTGATCCCCCATCTCCGCCAATCGAGCCGTCTCGATTTGTCCATCATCTCCCCATTACCCGCCCATCTCCATCCCACCACCATCCTGGGTGATCCAGTATCAGTTAGGACCAAGGGGCCTTTTCGTCATCCCGCGAATGATACAATTTACTCCCACTCATGATCCTCCCCCTCCCTGTCGGAAGAGGACACATCACCGGCTCTAGTGCGGTTTGGTAGACTGCAAGTGCGGGAGACACATGTATGCGGGTGTTGTATTAGTAGGCACGTAATAAGGCACGTAATAAGGGGCGCGGGTGAGGCACGGGCAAGGCAAGTCATCTACGTGGAGGGGAATCCCCGTGACTCGAGCGTGTTGTTTTAGTCGCCGGAAGAAAGATAAAAGTGAGGCGAAGGAACCCCGCTTGGAGAAGAGTGAGGACCCTGGAATCCGATCTACTATATCTTCCACTATCCCCTCAGTTCCGTCTAGTCTGACTTTGCCTTCTCTTAACCAGCATTTTCACACTATCACCACATTAAACCAGGTACGGATTACCCCCCCTAGAGGGAAGAAAGAGGCAGGAAGAAAAAAGAAGAAGAAGAAAAGGCTCAGAGTTACTAACGCACCCCCCTCGAGGTTCCAGTCTCATTCGTCTTTTTGACTCCCTCGACCGAAAATGCAGCCCCTCGTCAACTTCCACGACAAGGCTTGCCCCAAGTGCGGCGCCCAAACGGCTGATTCGACCAAGACCTGCGACTCCTGTGGTGCTGTAAGTAATTTTCTCTCTTTATTTCTCAGAACCCGCCACGGTTTGATTTCTCTCTCGGAGGACCTTGTCCCCCGGAGATGCACCCCCCTCGCCCTCGCCCTCGCCCTCCACTTCTCTTCTGTTCTCCTTGCTGACTTTTTACCTCCCTTGAAATAGACCTGCCCCTACTAAGCGTACAATGACACAAATTGGGATGGAGCCCCACGAGACGTTAGAGAAGAGGGATCCATGGAAAGCCTGGGCGGACTAGTGCCGTGGCGTTATTACGAAGTGACGAGACGATGAAGCGAGAGACCGACGAGACAAATGTTTCAGGAACGCGAGTTCGGTAAACCGAGAGATCAAGAGGAGTTCAGGATGTGCGCGCTGCTTTTGGTTTTCGGCTGGATGGAGAGGCCACGCTGTGCAGCGCAGCGCAGAGTTTCGTTCAAGAAATGAAGACTTAATTCTCATCTTCCCAGCTTTGCCCCCGTCTCTCTATCTCCCCTAACATTACCCGTCTACCCCTTTCGCTCGACGGATAGAAAACCCGAGCGGCCCCAGGTGTGTCGTCTACCATCTACCGTCCACCGCCCTCCCCACACAAGGCAGGCTGAAAGCTTCCCGCGAGAGGAGCAGCGGAATATCTGATGTCACGCCCCCAATTGTGCAGTTTAGCTTGGACACTGCCAAACGGCTAAATCGTAGTATAGCAAATTTGTGACACAGCCTCCAGATCCAAACAACTTGATGGTCTTTCGAGCAGTCGAACCCTTGTAAAGGATACCTTATATCAGAGCCCTATATGTGGAGATCTGAGTCACAAGCAGAGGCGCAACGAGGTTGGTCCACTCACAGGAAGAATATATATCTGTATATAAATAGATATAAGTTGGTAAGAGACAAGTATAAGAAAAGCTCAGCCCTGATGCTCTGGCCGGGCGTCATTCTTCCTAAGCTAGATCGTATGCCAAGCATGCATACGCAGGAAGACTAGATAGCTGGCCTTCGTAGTTTCTAACAGTCCCGGGGGGGGGTGGCGGGTTTCTCTTTTTTTTTTTTTTTTTTTTTTTTTTTTTTTTGGCTTGGTCGAGTTGAACATGGCCTAGCCACTGGATGAGAAAGCAAAGGAAAGCAACGCGAGACTGGGTGCCGAAAGACACCTATGATGTAGCCGCTTCCAAATGTCATTAAATCCAGAAAATATCAGGCGAAGAGAAATACAGAGCCGACCCAGCGCTCTTTTTAGTCCGGAAATGTCAAGACACTCACGGAGACACAGCACTTCGACCACCAATACCCGTAGCCCGTGGTGTCCAGAAGAACAATATATTACCTACGAGCCCCCATCGTCCTCAAAGGGGAAAAGAAGACCATCCAGCGAACAGCGTGCATGACTGCGACCCTGACGTCCAAAGCATGCATATTGCCCCCACGCCTCAGTCCCTTGTCGCTGATATGCCGTGGAGGGGGAGAAAAACATGCTTTGGAAAATTAAAGGGGCTAGCTTTGCCATCGCTGTCGAGGCTATTATCACCGTGTCATCCGCACGACGCAGCCCTGAGTTCGCCCTGCCGCCAAATGAACCTCCTTTCCCCCCTTCCGCTGCGACCATTTTGTTGGCCAGGGATGAAAAGGAGAAAAAAGACACAACAAACACGAGGTCAGTTTTGTCGGGGGAAAACCAGCACCTCCCTCATCTCCCAGAACCAGAATAATGATGATTTGTGAGCAGCCGAATATTTGGGGGGGGGGGGGGGGGGGGGGGGGGGATTGTGTGTAAAGTTGCGTGCGCGTGCGTGTACAAGGCTCTTTGGCGATGACAAGAGACAATAGCGATCAAAAACTCCAAATTCCGAGAACCTATGCAGGTGGATATAGCCTTGCCCTCCCAAAGCCGCCGCAGACCCTGGCTTCATCCGAAACAGGTTGGGGTGGGAAAAAAAGAAAAATAATATTCGTTTGGGTTGGGTTGGATTGGTTGGGGGAACCAAGGTCGAGAGTACAAGAGGAGGTGGGGGAAGGGATTCGAGGTCCCGTCAGACAAAAAGCACGCGGAGGGTTTGTGTTTCAGGAAACGCGGAGGCAAGAAAACAGCGGCATTGCTACCCTGGCTTTAGAGCAGGTTGCACTTGTGCTTCTTGCCGCTGCCCCGGCTACGCGATAGCAGAGCGGCGCGGGTGGCGTGTTCGAAAACCTCACGAACGCCTTCGTTTGTCTTGGCCGAGCACTCGAGGTACTTGTAGGCACCGATCTTCTTGCGAACCTCCTCACCCTATCATTTTGTAAAACGGACAATGATTAGTACATGGATTAGAACACGAGGGCGCAGCATATAGAGGAGGGACCCCAACGCGATAACCTCGACGTTGGGGGCACTGGTGCGCTGTAGGAAACGGGAGGGAAAATGGGGGGGGGGGGGGGGGGCACAAATGTGTATTTACCTCCTCGGGAGACACAGGCTTCTGGCTCGTCTTGCGCAGCTCCTCGATGGTCTTGGCGTCGTAGCGGAGATCCTTCTTGCAGCCGACGAGAATGATGGGAAGACCCTGGCAGAAGTGCAGGACCTCGGAAATCCACTAGAGAAGACAAAGAAAACGTCGGTTAGTCAGGGATCATGAGAAATGATAAGGACTACTGAGTAGTCGGTATGTGGCCATCAAGTACCTTCTCTTGAACGTTGTCGAGCGAATCGGGAGAATCGACGGCGAAGCAGATGAGGATGACGTGGGAGTCGGGGTAAGACAAGGGCCGGAGCCGGTCGTAGTCTTCCTGACCAGCCGTATCCCATAGGGCCAGCTCGACGTGCTTTCCATCGACCTCAACATCGGCGACGTAGTTCTCGAAAACAGTGGGAACGTAGACCTAGAAAGCGGGCGTCAGTAGGCGGACAAGATGAATACAGAGATGCCTGGGGCAAATGTAATGTCGTCGAGTGGAATTCTCCGTGGCGGAAGGAAAGGATGTCGGAAACGCGATTCGGCGTCTTACCTCGGGGAAGGTGCCCTTGGAGAAAACACTAGATAGGATTGTCAGTAATCAGCGAGACAGTAGATGAAGGAATGGCTGTGATTGCAGGGAGGTGATGATGATGGTGGATGCCACGAGGAGACGCGAACACGCCAGCTAGACCCCCGACATGTGCTGTGTGGGTGATACAACACGATGGCGAAGGGGGACGCCTTGGGAGGAGGGGGGCGGGCAGATGGAATGTATGGCCCCGGATATGATGATGGTGATGATGATGATGGCTCGAGATGGCTGAACGAGACTGATAGATGCAGGGAGGGAGGGAGAGCGTGGTATGGTGTTGGGGTTGAAGGGGCAGTTGCGGGAAGCTGTCGTCCACTACTCACATCAACAAACAGGTTTTACCGCAGGCACCATCGCCGACAATGACGAGCTTGCGGCGAATTTCGGCCATGGTGACTAGAGTGGCAGGTGCTTGGAAATAGAATAGACGGACGAGAGAGAGTAAATGCTGTTCGTGTGCTTGGGTTGGCGTGGAGAAAGTCGACGTTAGAGACGCTACCTCGATGTTGGAGAGATGGGAGAAGGTTGGATGGTTTGAAGAGACAAGTCAAAGGGAGAACCCAAGTTGGATGGATAGATGGATAGGATGCATGGGCCGCCAGATGGGAAAAAGACGGAGCGCTAGTGGAGTTTTGGCCTGACCTCTGACCTCTGACCTGAGAGGACAACAGGAGGTGCTTGGAAAGGGGGCCGGGGTGCAAAGCAGGGGTGAGGTGTGATAGGGGGAAGAAGGGGGTGTGCTGGCTGCCTATTTAAGGAGGGAGGGATGGAGACGGGAAGTGAGTGGAGGGCAGAGTGACCGACGCGCGAGTACCTTACGTAGGTAGGTAGTCTGCTGTGTGCTGTGCTTTCCTCTGTACGAAAGTACGGCGTCCTGCCCTGAAACTGGAAGGTGTGCCTGACGCAGCGAAGAGGGGGTTCATACACCCGTTAAAGGGTCTTCTGCCTTGGGGAAAACGAAATGCGCCAGGAGACGGGGGTGCGCAAAATAAGATCCTTGAACCAAATGAACCAACCTTCTGTTGTCGTCGTACCTAAAAGTACTTTGACTTGGACCAGTCAACCTCGACGTACGTAAGCTTAACACGTCCAACCCAGTAATAAAAACAGGAGGAGACGAACACACAGGAAGTATGTCGACAGAGAATAGGAATAAGATATGAATAGTAGAGAGCAGAAAGACAGACTTGACTTGTTTCCAACCGGCAAGTTTGCGACCTTTATGCCCTGTTTATGTGACTAATGTGTCTAATCTCAGATGGAGCGTGGATGCTATCGGGATATCTACCCCATTCTAGTGTCACCTCCAAAGAACCGAGATCTACTTCACCTTATAGTTACCTTGGTAGGTTGTCAAGCTGTCCCAAGTAGGACAGAGAGACAAAGGACCATGGGTTAAGATCCCCTTTGTGCGCCGTGACGACGTCGTCATAGCTGGTTGTCTCTGGAAAGGCCTCACAGACTCTCTTCCGCAAGGTGGTTGTATTGTCTGGAATCATCACATAAAGCCTTTTGATAAAACTGGAGGGTCATTCTATGAGTATATTATTCCAGGTTGATAACTCCATCTAGGTATATTGTGCCTTGGCATGTGCCGGCTGTATGCTGCGTCGGTACTTCTGTCCATTTACCGATTTACCTCCTCGCCTGCAAGATGTACGTTAGGTAAGGTATATCAAGAGCGTTGCCAAGGCACCCTGTTTGCGGCACTTGGATTGAACTCCTGGGGGGTTTGGCAGATAGGAGTCAATCTGTCAGTCCAGCCCTGTGATTTTTTGAGAGGCAACCAACTACGGTACCCGTAGAAATCTCCATCCTGCATCAGATCAGCATGCTTATACGTACCATGTTACTAAGGTACAGTACTCTGTACGAACATCTGCGGTACGAGATGCAAGTCCCGGCAGGTACTTCGTACCTCTAGGGTCCCTGTAGCGCTGAGCTGAAATGCATCGCAAGGAAAACACCGAGGCGGGATGATCAGGGCAGTCCATTGGGCGGCGATGTCCATTTGAACTTGTCTTGGCCCACTGAAGGACAGGTACCGAACTTGTACTAACTTGCTTAATACGATGTCTTGTAACTTGTAACGACGCGAAGCTTCCTTCCCGCGGAAGAAATCCCTACCTAAAGGTAGGTCGCTCACGTCATCTGGAAGAGAGCCTGGACTGTGTTGTTTACGGAATAATTACACGTGTACAGATTACGCTTTGCTGTGTCATTGCACCCCCTTCGTTGTCCGTCACAGTGGAACAACACCACAGGTCCAATACCGTTAAAGCCGTGCCGTTGAAAGATACTCGATTGATTACTGTATGGGCAGTAGAAACATCAACAGAAATTGTTGTTAGAGTGATGACACGAGGTTTTCCCATAAACAAACAATGTTGCGTTTTGGTGGCTGGTCCGCATGTCTACAGGCCTCAGGTCACTCGGTCAAGTACGTCCAATAAATCCCACTTGTCTGCATATATGGTTGGCTGGGGAGCGATGACATGACCATCAGAAGTCCTACAGGTCCTACAGAATCTAGGACTTCACCCATACGTACTGGAGTAGCAGATGCATGCCAAACAGTCCGTTGGATGACCACGGTTGATCATATGCTGTGCCTTTTCATAGCTCTCTATTTGTACTGCCTCCCAAGCTTATGATGCTGAACCAAGGTACCTTATGCAGTGTTGACTGGCGTTGACGAAGTCACTGGCCTTGAACCCCCTTCCAAATATTGATTGCCTAAGGTACCTGGTAATGCATGGCCTTCGCCGCCAGAGACGGGATTCGGTCTCCAAGATAGCCATTAAATCCATGAAAGAAGTACAAAAGAGAGGGAAAGAGAAAGAAGACCATCTTGGTTTATACTTTAGGTCAGTAAGACGTAAATTACTACCGTAAAAAGCAGGGTCTACCTTTCTGGGACTGGGTTTTCGGTGACCGTGTGACCCCATGCACAAAGAGTTACGCTGTCACCGCCATTCCACTCTTCTGGTTGCCTCTTATTCCCTGAATATCTGTACTGGGTACTGGGTATGAGTAATACGGAGTAGTAGTACTACCGGCAACTCGCCCTCACCGGTCAAAGCCCGGGATATAGATATTCCGTGGCCGTGCACCCCGGATCAAACAACCGGACATGGCACGGCTTGGATTGACCACTGAAGGTATGTAGGTACTCCAAATTTCTTGGCGCGGCCAATTCTCGTGGAATTTTGTCTCGCGGAAAGCTTCAAAGCCTATCTATGGACGAGACGACATCAACGTCCAGTCGCCCATTATTCACCGCCCGATCACCCGCTATTACGCTACCTCCATACGAAGACGACAAGAAGAAAAATTAACTCTTGACCTTCTCATTCGCATCATTTCTCTCGTGCCCCCCCGTCTCTCTCACCGCCGGGGAGACGAGGCCCTACCCACCATGCAGAAACTCATCAAGCGGACGGCCGAAGCCCAAAGGGCCGCCGCCCGTCGCGCCAAGAAGAAGAGCCTCACGGAGTACCTCAGTAACAAGCATCGCCGCATCAGAGAACAGGCCCGTTCCGTCAGCGAGATTGCCGCGGACCTTCGTGCCGCCCGCCTCAACCGCCGCCAAAACTGGGAGCTAGGTCCTCTCGCTCCTCGCCTCGACTTGGACGGCAAAGCTACCCATGCCGCCCAAGAGGCCCCCCGAACAGCCATGCAGACGCTCATGAAGCCGTGGGAGATCCAACTGCGCTGTGCTTGGGCCGGGACGCCCGAACTTCTCAACCTCGTCGTCGGGGACAGGGTCGTCGTCATGGAGGGTCCGGAAAAGGGCAAGATTGATCGCGTGGCCAGCATCGACATGAGACACGGTACAATTAATCTGGAGAACATTGGCAAGGTGAGCCGCGCTGCCCTCTTTTTTTCTTCTTTTTTTTTTCTTTCTTCTTTTTCTTTCTTTTTTTCTTTTCTTTTTTTTCTTTCTTTCTTTTCTTTCTTCGCTCCCTTTGAGGACTATCACTTCCCAGCAGAGAGGATAAGAATAGGGGACTGAAAAACTCTAACACCACAACTCTCCTCCCAGTACCTCTCAAAAATCCCCGATGAATACCGCAGCGTCGACCCTGAAAAGAACAGCACCCGCCTCGCCTCCGTCTCGCTCCCCATCTCCGCCGTCCGCCTCGTCCACCCCATCACCGACCCCAAGACCGGCATCACCCGCGACGTCATCGTCCGCAGCCTGACCGCCGGCCCCGTGAAATGGCACCGCCACACCGGCTGGCGCGCCTGGACGCGCTACATCACGGGCCTCAACGTAGCGATCCCCTGGCCCGAACGCAAGCCCGAGCCGCGGGAGGACTACGCGAGCGACACCAAGCGCGCCGACGTCGAGGAGCCGACCTTCGTCCCCAGCCTGCTCCGCTGCCCGCTCCCCGACGGCCTGATCGACCAGCTGCGCAACCGCTACTCCCGGTTCCGCACGCGCCACGAGGAGGCCTACATCCAGAGCAAGGAGGCCGAGGAGGCCGAGAAGCTGGCCCGCCACCGCGAGGCCCAGACCATGCTCACCCCGCTCCAGGAGTTCAACCGCCTGCAGCGCGCCCTCCGCCGCGAGAGGGGCCAGCCCACGCTCTCCGAGGAGATGCTCGTCAAGATTGGCGAGGTTATTGCGCGGAACAAGGCGGCGGCCCTCGGCGCTGCGGGCATGTCGGAGGTGAAGAAGGATGGCGCTGCTTCGGGCGATGTGCCGACACATTTGCTCCATGGGGGGAAGGATGCGCCGTCACCGACCCCTTCGCAACAGCCGGTGTGACGTCTTGATATATTAGATTGGTGTAAGAGACGGGAGTTGAAGTACGAGACGGTCCAGGTTGATATGGACATGTACAAAACACATACATACACCAGGGAGATTATACAAGGACAGGCGATCTTCACTTGTGCAATAGTGTACTTTTATCAGCAGATAGCACTGCAGCTATCATGATCATCTTTAGTCGTGTGAATGGTTCCGGAATTTTCCCACCTTGGAAAAATCGTTTCTATGTACATCATCTATGTGGATTGCCATAATCTAGGACTACGCTATCCTCCGAGCAAGGATAGCTTTTGGACCGCCTGGACAAGGGGAACTTCCTGCCTCCTGTTCCTCGCCTCCAAGTATTCATGGAAGACACCCGCACCTCCTGTAGCCACATATCCCATGTCTCCACCAACACCACCACCACCACCACCACCACCACCAGCCAGACCCTCGTTCGGGTCCTCCCCATCCTGTTGCTCGGTTTCTTCGGGGGATCCAAACACCTCCGCCACAGCCGTCCTGCATCCCTCCACAACTTCATCCACCAGCGTCTCCACCGCCCGAGCCCGCTCAGCCATATCCCGCCTCACCAACGCGAAAACAAGCGCCCCAACCTCCCCGCGCACGGCACCGACGCGGTCCACGAGCCGCCTCACGCTGTTCACGAGGTACTCCTCCTCGTAAACGGTACCCTTGCGGCCCCGCGCGCGCTTCTTCTCCTCGCGCCGCCGATTCTTGCTCGTAGCCCGACTGACCCCCGTCCCCACCGTGCCCGTGCTCGTCGTCCTCGCCCCGCCGCCGCCGCCTTTGCCCGTGTACCGCGTGAGCAAGCTCGCGCCGCCGGTGCTGAGCCGCGAGCTGGCCGCCACCGACACGTCGTCCGGGATCCCGTCGGCGCCGCCGGCGCGCTCGCCTTCGTAGAAGGCCAGGGGATCCTCGGCCGCGCGGCGACGGAGCTCGAGGATGCGGGGCACCTGGGCGCGGAGCTGGGATTTGCAGTCGGCCAGGAACTCGGTGGTGGTGCTGAGGGTGTCGACGAGGGCGGGGTCGAAGACGGAGGGGACGAGGTCGGCCCGGCTGCGGTGGGCGAGGAGGCGGAGCGCTTCGGCGAAGTGGTTCCCCTTGCAGAGCGAGCGGACGGCGCCTTCGAGGGAGTCGAGGTAGTCCAGGTGCAGGGTCGCCGCTGAGGCGTGGTCTTTGGCTTCTGTGAGCGCCTCGGCGAGGGTGGTGGCTTGGTCGGTGAGCGCTTCTTTGGAGAGAGGCGGTTGTACCTGCTGGGCGGCGAAGAGGCACTCGCGCCAGCTCGTGGCGCCGTCGCTGCGGTAGCAGACCATGGCCTTTTCGTAGTTCCCGAGAGACTCGAAGGCTAGACCAGCCTCCCGGAACTTGGATTTGGATTCGAGATATTCGGCAAAGAGGTTGATGAGAGTACGGTGTCTTTGCCTCTCGTACCTGCAGAGGCCGAGTGCGTCTTGGTACAGAGCGTGCTTGGTAGTATATGCCTGTAGTTCGTCAAACGCATCTAACGCCTTCAGATGTGCTAGGGCCTTGGATCGCCGGTTAAGGTGGTCGTCAATCTCAAACCGTCTGCGAAGCTCGGGGAGTTTGTGGAGGTTTTGGATGAAGGGCAGATATTCCCGCGGGTCTCGCTGTGATTGCTGGGCAACGAGCAAGGCAAGGTCGAGGTTGTAAAGCCCCAAAGCATGGTCATAGAGAAGGTTGACATCTACGAGGAAGCAGATATGCTCTACGGCCTTCTCTGCAAGCTTCTCGTCTTCTTGCACCAACTCGGCAACCAGAGTCAAGCCGTCATCCAAGGCGGGAGGCACCTTGCAGACGTGGGCGGTGATGATGTTTTGGAGGTGGGTTTCTTTCTTATGCTGCAGAGCCTTGAGAACAGCATTGCAGATCTTGTTGACTTTGGACTTGTTCCCCGAGTTCTGCGGAGCCAGTGAATCTGCGGCCGCTTCCTCGGCGATAATGTCCGGGTCGCGAGCTGTTGTCCGCTTGGTATCTTTGTACATCGTTTGGGCGACGTCCTCCTCTCTGTAAATCCGTCAACTACCTACCGTTGTTATTAAGCATGGAGGGCCGAGTTGGACTTACCTGAGAGACGAGAGGAAGAGATCGATATATGCCACGTCCTGAATCTGGTCGAGAAAGAGGCCAACGTTGGCTAGGAACTGGTTCGGGCGGTGATCATAGAGAATGTTCATGTCCACCCGTTGTGTACGACAATATGAAAAAGCACGACCGTAGTTCTTCTCCTCGACGAGTTGCCTGATACCCGCGACCACCATGGCTCTAGGGTATATAGTCTCAAGGTTACCCCTGGGCATCTGCAACACGAGGCTCATGTTGGTAGGCATGGCCGTGACGAGCCGAGCACCTCGCTCGATGCTGCGACACCTTTCATCCACCTCAGGGTCGTCTTCCGGGACTTCCATTTCTAGGCAATGTCAGACGGATCAGCCACGATCGGGTGCCAGGCGTGGAAACACATACCTTGAGGATCCACCAGATGGACGAACTTGAGGAAGTGGTTGGTTGTTGTGAAGATGATATGGGCATCAGTAACCACAAAGGAAGTGCAGTTCTTGGCTATCAGCCTACTGTCAGCGTAGAGGCGTCCGTTGCGAGCCATTCCCACCGCCACCGTATTGTCTCCGACGGCAACCAGCTGACACCATGGCAGTTGGACGGGCAGTCGAAGTCCGAGAGGCATAAGGCCCTGTTGTCCGGATAAGTTGTATAACTTTCCAGAGCGATCTTGGGCGTAGGCCCCTATATCGGGTAGACCGCAGTAGCTCGAAATGGAAGAAATCGGCTCCGATCGATCGATTTCCACGACATCCTGGAGGTTACTATCCCCAGGCCCAAAGCTGTATACTTCAACTTTTAGGTCCCCTCCGTCGTGAACGAGGACAGAGATTTCTTCAGACGAGGAAAAGCATGCTTGAAGTGGAACCCGAGGCGAGTCGTCCGTTGATGATGATTCAAAGAAAGTTGTTCGGCTCACCCTCTTGGGGTGAAGGGAGCGGCTTCCTTTAGTTTGCCATGCATAGACGTCTATTCCGGTACGATGCAGGACGGCCATGGAGGAATTGGCAGAATCAAAGACGACGTCAACAACACTCGATGCCTCCTCCAAGTCGAACATGGTCATGGGAGGAGGCATGTTTGCCGTCCGGAAGGGGGTAATTTTCGCCGTGTGGCCGTCGATGACCGCAACGGCGCCATGATCGTGGGGTGGCCTCTGAGAACCCCTTGCCACAGTGAAAATGTACTCGGCGGAGGTGAGGAGACCTGGCATTGGTCAGTAAAGATAACCGAGAAGAAGAAAAAGAAAAGGAAAGGAAGGAGGGAAAGAAAGAAAGACGAAGCATTGGCAAAAAAAAAACTACTACTTACTGGACGTCGCCGCGGCAAAGCGCAAGGCCTTTTCAGGATGCCAGGCCAAGTGGACGTACGGGGACGTGATGGGCACCTCTTGTTTGAGGTAGTAATGGTAGTTCCCCATGGTCCAGAGCTGGATCGTATCCGACAAGATGACGGCAAGAACAGTCGAGTCGTTGTTCCACTCCAGCCTGATCCCATCGTGTGACAGGATATCTCCACCAGGCGAGCGCAAGGTAAAGTCGCCATGCCTCAGACCGTTCCTTTCAAAGAACACGACATCGATCCTGTCCGACCGACGCTGGATGGCGGCGATGAGATTCCCCGCCGGCCGCCAGCTCAGAGTTCCCTCCAGTCCATCAACAGGCTCGCTCGCGCTGTCCAGGACGCCTTCTCGCGAGTACACCCTCACGACTCTCCGAAAGCCGCCCTCGACGGAGTTGACGGCAACGTAGGCGCCGTCCCCGCGCCAGCTGATGGACGACGAGCCGTCGTCCTTCGGGCTGAGAACGCCCTCGTCCACCTTCTCGGGGATGGTGGGGTCTCTGAGGGCCTTCGCGCCCCGCCCCTCGAATTGGGTCTCCTTCTTCCCCCAGCCGACGGAGACGTGCTTGGATGCTTTGAGGTCCTCCGAGGTCATGGACACGTCGGCGATGGCATCGAAGGTGCGGCCCATGAAGACGGCCTTGCCATCTTTGGTGGTTACGAGGAGTAGCTCGTCGTCGGGAGACCAGCGGGCCGCCGTAATTCCGGCATCGATGGAGCCGATAATCTCAATGTGGACGTCATCCTGGGAAGAGAAGGCATCGGGTTCCTTGATAGTGACGATATCGCCGCCGGCAAGAATAACACACGTGGTAGACGTGTCGCTGAAGTGGTGAAGGCTCACTACTGAGTCGGCTGGGACATCGGGATGGGGACTCGGGACGTCCCACGAAGCAATAGTGTGAGATTGTCTGGGAGGGGGAGGAGGAGGGGGTCAGTGAGGTGAGCGCTCTGTGTCCTTTTTTCCATGAATAAGTGGGATGTGGCAGCAAAAGCAGAAGAATATATTTCCCTTTTTCCCTCACGAAGAAACGGGGTTCCCTGACTTACAGCTCAAATGTATCTGCAATCCGGACAAGCTCGATGGAGCGTCTCGTCTCGGTCGGACCTAGAGTGCAAAGGAGTTCATCCTTGGCGGGGTCCCAGCAGGTGGAAGTGATGTCGGCGAGGCGCCAGGCATCGAAGCGGATGTTGCGCAAATTCCGCATTCTCGGGTTGGTGATGAAGTCACTAATCACTGGTCATAATAAGTGTTCCCTGTCCCGGCGTTTGGGCTTGGGAGGGAGAGGGAGGTGGAGGTCGTCTTCGAGTTATTGACTGAGGTGGTCACGATGGACGCTTTGTGCTGCTGCCGTTGTGGTTGCGATGAAAATCTTCGAGGTATGAAAAGGGACTACGTTGGTACTTTGGTGGGGGTTCCGCAGATGTAACTCTTGCGCATCAAATGCAGTTAAGGAACTTTGAAAGCGTGTTTACCAGGTACCTCGTGGTGTTGAGGGCTACCTTAATGAGATACCTCCTTCGTACAGTGAGCTCTTGACATAACACTGGTCACCCAAAATGTGGACCCGAGGCAAGTTCAGACATTGGTACATTCTACCAAGATATCTCGTGGAAAGGAAAAAGTTATGGGCATCACCTTCACAGCAAAAAGGATTTCTCTCGCTGAATATGCAAAGACGTAACCGTAAGAGAGTTGGATGTAGAAGCTTATGATCGACATCGACGAGTGCGTCTCATCGAACAGCTGTGATCTAAGGTAGGCTACAGATCTGAACTTTTAGAATCCCCACATATTCTTTCGTGATTTTCTCAAGGACGATCCAAGCCCTCGCAGGTACGCCTCTACCAGGGTTTAAAGGTTAGCGCGAATACAAACGAATATGATTGGTTACGGATAACAGGGATCCCTGTGAAGTACATCTGCATCCAAATATATAAGACCTATCACCCTTCATAAGTACCTATACTTACTAGATCTCGCCACTATCCCTACTATCCCCACTATCCCCACTATCACTACTATCACCACTAGGGTAGTCCTAAGATAATCCTCAAGATCGTCATATGTCTTTGTACCTATCTATATGATATAGGTGGAAAAGTACGGATCGGCAGGCTAATCCAATGATTGATAGGATGTGGGGCGAATTCACGAGCTAACCTTTAAACCCCTGGGGGAGGTGTACAGGTACGATCATACATACCATTTCTGTTTGCTGCAGACGGGCAGTTTACCCACCTTGGTACACGTATATATCTGGCCAAGGCTCATTCTTGATGGCCCGATTCACATGAGATGAGCAGTCATCCAAATATGTCGACCCTTGATTTCAGGAACAGTCATGACCGAAGAATCAAGAGCGGCCGAAGACAGATTCGTTGAAAGTGATACTTGTGAATGGTACGCCGTGGGGACCTGCTTCCTCTCGGTGATGCCTTGACACCACTACCTAGGTACCTAATACTCTTTCATCTGGTCAACACTTGGTGGAGCCGCGGCGCCACTCCCCGGTTCCGGTATGCTGCCAGTCGCACCAGACAGGCCTCCACGGTGGTATAATTGTCAGATATATGACGTGCTGGATTCATGTCTGGTCAACTGCATGCAGTACACAGCTAAGGTCCGGTCCTTAAAAATGAACTTTAAGTACGCTACTACCTTATTAACAAATCACAGACACTCGTGGGTTCAAGACCGGTCAGCAAGTCACAAGCCATTTCAAACCGTTCCTCACCGGCATCGGCTCTTGCTCGGTAAACCCCCCTAAGAACTAAGATCCGCGGCTGGGTCTAGGTCTTGGTCCGTGCACTTCCGTATCCACAATCAAGGTACCCAGTCCGTCTTGTGAGGCGATAATAAAGGAGCTGGTCCGATTTCTTTCTCCCTTCGTTGATCCCGACACCGCAACTCGCCTCGTTGACTCCATTATCGGACTATCTGCCCTCGTGTGCTTGCATTTTCTTCTTTCTTTTTCACTGAGCGTTCCCTTCCATTCGTTCTTACCAGTTCTCTTCTTTTTTTGCGAACATTCATCGCGTGTACCCCAATTGACTTGACTCAGAACGGCACTGTCTGGCCCAAGTCACCGATTAATACTTCATTGGCGGCAACCATGGACGAAGCATACAAGCAGCACCACAGTCGCAGAAAGAACCGCTCTAGCACCAGCCTCAATCATCTAACCCTCGCCCCGCTTACTCCCAAGCTACCCTTCAGCGACGACGCCGAGTTCTCTTACGTGCCCCCCGTCCGCAGCACCTCGTACATCCAGGGCAAGTCCGCCCCGACAACCCCCAGCATCCTCGCCCGTCCACCGACCTTCCCCTCGACCTCCCGCTCCCGCTCACGTTCATCGCGGCGCGCTTCCATAACGGACGCCCAGCTCCCCAAGAGCAAGTCGGCCTGCCACCTTGCCGTTGCCGACCACCACCATGACGCGTCCTCCAGCTCTACCCGACGGAAAGCCGTTTCCGGCGCCACGACCCCGACCCGCCGTGCTCGCAACGACGGCAACGGTATCCCGCGCGACGACGACGACTGGCTCCTCCGCGCCGGTATCGTGCTGAGCGCCGAGGCAAGGGAATACAAGGGCCAGATGTGGCTCACCTCGCGCGAGAGCTCGACGAGTCTCGTCGCCCTGCGCGATGACGAGGCCGACGAGGCGGTTCTGGAGAGGGAGCTCGCGCGGGACCGCGACCTGATGACCCGGAGGAGCAGCGTGGTGGATCTCGTCGAAGGGGTGGTGGATGGCGGTCGCTCGACGCGTGGGAGCCGGCATGGGAGCCGGCCCGCCAGCCGGGTCGCCTCCCGCGGTCGGGGGATGGTGTCTCTCGAGGGCCAAAGTCTGGACGAGGCTTACTTCGACCGTGATCAGGCACTCGGAGACGAATATGACCAGGGCCCTGATTTCGTCAATCCCGAGGACCGGTTGGAGGCCATGGGACAGGACCCCGACAAGGACGACGAGGCGACCGTGCGAAAGCTCGTCAAGGCGGAGGGCGCCGGCCGCAGCTTGTGGTTCGGGTTGTCCTTGTTCTCGGTGGAAGAAAACCCGGAAGATTCCGACACGAGTGACGATGACGACGCTGAAGGGGAGGTGGATGAACGACGCGACGCCTGGACGAGCACCTCATCTCGGCACTTTGAGGGCGTGACAAATTCTCCCAAAGAACTGATCCCGCCCCCCGATCCCAACCAGGGAGGATGGCACGATGCCGCCTGGCTGTTGAGCGTGGCTTGCAAAGTCTTGCTGTGAAGGAGAAACAAAATTACTTGTTATTACGGACCCTTTTTTTTTTTTTGGGCTAGTCCCGTCTTTCGACAGCTACAACGCCCATCGACGCCTTTCCCATAGACATTCTGGCCGGCCTCTACCTCCGAGCAAGGGACTTGCGAGCCCGGGATCCGGACTCGGGCCGGGCCGACAAACCCAAGTTCATCAGTTCCCGTTCCTTCGGGAAAGGGCACTTAGGACCTTCAACAAGGGCAACCACTCCATATCAGCCAGGTGTTGGGGAACGAGGGTCAGCGTGCCCGTCATCACTCCGTACGGCCAAAACTCAGGTCATACAAGCAAGGAATGTGGGCTTGGAGCAAACCGCCAACGGGGCATTTCCTTTTGGATGCTTCTAGACCACAGATCAACACTGCATGACATTTTGAGTTCGCTCCAACCTAAGGAGAAGGGGCCACTCAATGTGTATGGATGGTACACTAGCTTACCTGATTAACGGGAGCTTCTTAATTGGTGGGAGTCTTGTTGCGCTACGGCTAGCCAAGCAGAAAGCCAAAGCTCCGTGCCGACGCCAGGGCATGTTGTGGTTTTTTTCCGTTGCGTTTTTGCGTTCTTGATCCTGGCGTTCACAGGAATCCGGGTTTGCGGCTGCACGTGGGATCGTGTTCACGGAAGGTCGTGCTTTAAACCTACCCGGGTTTGGGGGTTTGGGAGTCAGAGCCCGATAACTGGTCAGTCTGTCGACAGTCTTAGAGCATTATGTCGACAGAAATATTCTGTCCTGGCTCTGGTCAGGCCAAAATCCTCTGTTCGAGCTCTGACCTATCTCCACCGCCCCCCTCCCTTCCCTCCTCTCCCCGGTAGGAACCCAAAATACCTATAATATCTGGCCTGATGTCGACCTTCTTTTACACTGATCTCGCCCTATAAGTGATTCTGGAAGGTTCCAAAGCGCATGTTTCTCTTCTTTTGTTGTCGTGGGACCCAAGTCAAGATGTGAGGGGGAGGAGGAAAAACCGGTTTTTGCCCCCCTGGGCTAAGAAACTGGGGGAGTGGAAACGAAGGCTCGTGCCACTGGACTGTTGGACGATGTCTTAAGACCTCGTATGATTTGCTTGTTCCGTAGCTGAAGACCATCGGACGAGTTTTGCCAAGTGATGCCTGAAATGAACGTCCGAACGAGAAAGGGGTTCTGCCTATTTGTGGTTATGAGATGCGTTCCACGACTGGTTGTGAGGTCGGTCGTGAGGTCGGGGATGACAATAGAAATGTTCCTGACACATTGTGGTGGTCATAGTTCAGCCTTTCCAAGAGACGATTAACAAAGAGATGCCTCTGTGGAAAAAGAGGGATGTTTCGAGTCTGTCACCGCTTCTGAAGCCGTATTCGTACGATTTCGGGATATGTGATCTTCGGAGCCAATACCACGCCACCGGTTCGTCAAGCAATTCAGATGCTATAGGAGGCGTGGGCAGCATGTACTCGGTATGTGCGAAGGACGCGTGCTACGAAACTTTTGTAGGTCCGTCAGTTTATCGTGTTGCGACGCCCGAACTCAGCATGAGACTGTTGCTGTCTTTGTAAGTACGTCGTACGAAGTATTTCAGGTCCAGGTTATGACGTAGGGATAAATACCCTAGCTACCCCACATCCGATCGCACAGAGGCAACGACTACACGCTACGCTGGCGCACAATCAGCCACCGTTTTGTAATTATTAGCTTATGTCTCCCCTCTTTCGAAAACGAGTAGAACCGAAGAGATATTAATCGTCGTGGACGGCGTGTGAGGGGACTGAGAGTGAACCGGCACCGTCTTATGCGGGAGGAACAGTGAGAAAACCGGGATCCAAATGCAGCGTCTTCCAATGCCCATTGCGACGAGGGAGTTCGGGGAGCCGGACACAGAAGAATATATGAGGCATTCCGCCGTATCTTCGTTGTTATACGTACCTTAAGGTAAGGTACCGTAACAAGAAGAAGATTGCGGGACCTCGATAGGTAAGGTAGCCTAGGGTACTCGGGGACTCCTGCCAGTGTTTCACCTATCAGAGCCGTACCTAGTGTACCGTTTTTGAGGTATTCCCACAGCGCCAAGGAGCAAGGGGCAGATCCCCCCTCCCAGGCGCGGACTATGGGCCTCACGGGGGTCGGGGGTGCACGGGGATGGCGCTGCAGCAGTGTTGGACGGTGTTGGAATAGTCGGAAAAGAGCTCCGTGGTTGTTTGGACCTGAGGTATTCCGTAAGAAACATGGTAGACAAGGAAAGAGATCGACAGAATGGTTGTTCTAGAACCCAGACCCTAGGAAACTACAAAGCAGGAGAGAAAGGATAGCAGGAACGCGTTAGAGTAGAAGAGAGAACTGAAAATCGGGTAGGGATCATACGGAGCACCAAGTCATTGCGAAGTACATATGTACTTCGCAGCTGTGCTTCGAACAGCAGGCACAGTATGAACGGTGAGGTGGGGTCGTCGGGTGGAGCGGGATGGACCCTTTCGTGGGGACAAAGTGGGACCAAAAGTCGAGAGACCAGGGTAGACAGCGTACGGAATGATGCAAGGTGTGGAGACGGATTCCGCCACACGTCACTCGAATCACCTCCTATCGAAGAAAATACTGTAGAGATACTGTGCCCCCAAATGCGAAGTACCGCAAACATCCCATCACACCCCCCGAAAGCTTGGACAGGTACGAGGCAGAAGAAGAAGCGCGTACCTTGGGGAAGGACCGCAAAACCTGCCATCAGAGCGATAGGCACGGTACAACGTACGGTGATTTGAAGGAGGAGGCGTCCCCCGAAAATGGAATGTGCTAAAAGATATTCCTAAAGGTATAGGTAGTCGGAACATCTCAACCACCCAGCCTCGGGCGCTTCCATTCGGGCTGGAGCCGTGTTGACCTTTTTCCTTTTCCCCTCCCCTAATTAATTACCTCCTTTCCCCATTTCTCTTCCACGAGGCGTGGACTTTTTGCTACTTGTGCCTAGCCATCAGCTACCCTAGAGGTAATTACCGGATCGCAAATTCTCACGCCAGCAACGTCATCCGTTGGCATCACTCCTACCCGAGTATCCGTCAACAACCAACCAGCAAGGATCGTGACCGAGTGCGACGCAGCTTAACTCTTCATTTGACTGCTGGGGGAAATCCAGCCCTGCCGTACGTCACTGGCTCTGGTCATTTACCCGAATACCGAGCTTTATTCCTCTGCCCATCTTGCTCAAGGAGACCCGATATTGAGACAATCTTCTGCAAAGTCCGAGGTACGTGCGATTGATCTGTTCACATACTTCTATGTTCCCTTCGAGGCTCCCCCATGCACCGTCTCCCATTCAAAGCACGATGCTTCCTCGCATCGAAATCCCATTTTCTCAAGTACGAAGTATTTGCTCAAATGCGCCGATGGAGCATGAACCCCGCCTTGGTACCTGCCTATCCCGTGGGCGCTCAGTTGCCCCTCCTGCGAGAAACAGGGTTCAAAGGGTCCTTCCTCTCATAATCGAATCAATAATCCGTCGTGCTTTCCTCGAGTCTTTTTTGGGGGGGTTTGCCTCTTGGGGTATCATGCCGTTTTCCCAATCCCCTCCTCCTTCTCGTCCTTGTTCTACGAAGTACCGCCAACATGTCCTTCATTTCTGCTCGGGCACGTTGAATAGCATCCTCTCGCGGGCCCAGCTCTCCCGCTGTCCAGCATAAAGCTATTCGTGCATCCCGTTCCCTCCCTGCAGCACCTTATTATCAGATTACCCCACCAGTGGATTATATCAACCACAGGCTGTTAACCCCGCCATCAAGACTCTTCCCCCTCCCTTTCGCGACGGCAAGTCTATTTGCCATCGTATACCCTTACACATCACACCAGTTATCACCTCTCTTATTTCGGGGACCTCTCTTGATCCATCTGAAATTCACAACCCAGTACTCCAGTATTTACCTTGTTCATTGTTTCTTTTGTTCAGTGTCGTGAATTTCCAACCACAGTCTTCAAGCTCGAGAGAACCATCCCGGCTGGTAAGGTTACCTCCTCCCCCCTTTTGCCCCCAACCAACCCACCAACCAACAACGTCGACGCACCTGTACGGTATATTTGTATTATCTTCTGTTGGTTTATGTCCAAGAGTCGCTTCGCCCAAATCGCCGCTCGAACATCGTCTACGCCTTTTGTCCTGGGCGCTCTAACCACATATCATGACAGCCCTCTCCGCAACCCGTCCAGGCGGATAACCTGGCTTGCCTTTCAAACAACCATCAGAGATACCCCGGTGATTTATTATAACAACCACTACAAAAAAAAAAAAAAAAGGAAGCCTGAAGCGTAGCACCTGTCATCATGCCCGCCGAGACCAAGGTACGTCTCTCTGCCAGCGCCCGCCTAGGTGACCAAACTACTCACATGCCATCCCGGAATTTCCAGATCGACGATGGAGCGCCCGCTCTCCCCCAATTAGGCGATAGCGTCGACTCGACGACTTTCGAGCAGATCCTGGAAATGGACGACGACGATGAACGCGAGTTCAGCCGATCCATCGTGTTTGGCTTCTTTGAGCAGGCCGAGGAGACCTTCGAGACAATGGAAACAGCACTGTGAGTGGGAGATTATTTACGGGTTGCGCTTTTCTGCGCGCTTGTGGGCATGTCTGACATTGGTTCGTTCCTTCGATACTGCAGGGAAAACAAAGAGCTCCACGAGCTTTCACAGCTCGGCCACTTCCTTAAGGGTTCTTCGGCGACCCTGGGGCTCGTCCATGTCCGCGACAGTTGCGAGAAGATTCAGCGCTACGGAAAGAAGCAGAAGGAGGACGGATCCAGTGTGGACGACGACGAGTTGTGTCTGAAGCGGATCGGGGAAACACTCAAGACACTCAGGACGGAATATGATAACTGCGAGAGGGCCTTGAAGAAGTTTTACGGCAGCCCCGTCGCCGAGGACAGCGATAAGACCGACGAGGTGGACAAGGCTGATACGACTGATGAAATAGACGAAGTGGACGAAGTGGACAAAGTCGACAAAGTCGACAAAGTCGACAAAATCGACAAAATCGACAAAACGGACGAGAGCGATAAGACTGACACGGCGGACAAGAGTGACAAGACCGATAATTAGCCAGCCTCTATACTTCGAGCCACCGCAATACTTCAAGGAGTATGACTACCGACATCGTCCCCGACGCCCCCTTGTGTCTCAGACGGGGTGAAGGAAAAAAAATGAAGGTCTTGGGCAGTTTGGGAAGGGGGCCAACAGAGCGCCCCCTTTCAACCTCGAGGCCCGAAACCACTCGTGTTATGGGTTTTCCGGTCTTGAATCAGCTTTATACCTACACCACACTAGTCGTAAGCAGAGTTGGGTCAACCGACTACCGGTTCAAGAGCATCTGTCAATGCGCCAAGAAGATTGATACGGGGGCCTTCGTCTCTTCCCCGAGGATGGATGGGGCTGGGTTGATGATGACCTGCGGTTCTTTCTCCATGTCCTACTGCCTTGTGGGGAATATCTTATTGGTGGAGTAATTTATCGCCTGCTTGGTTGTCCTACACACGGGAACCCGCGCAGCTTCAAACTCAGCAGCCGAGAAATAATTCCAGAGGTATATTTCTCTCCATAGATGCCGCCCTAGTAGATGCCGCCCTAGACCTCAGCTTCGTGCATGCCGATCGAATTTCCGAATGCGACAAAGCGTTCTTACGGCCGACCTTACCCAGAGAAGTTGGTCCAAGGCGGGAGACTTTGCATACTCTCGTGTCTGCTAAGTCGAATTTGAGCATAGGTCGAAGTGGTGCTCCCCAGGTGCGACCTGGGGAGGATATTCTACTCCGCCCATGACTGATCCCTGGAAGCATTGAGATCGTAGGAACTGATGGCATCGCCGCTCGTATAGTGTGGCTTGGGGCGAGGGATGCTAAAGCACCATTTTGACTTTGTAAAGGAGCGATGACTCGGGCACTGGCGGGTTACGGTTCCTGAAGGGGTGGTGCCCATTCCTACAGAGGTACGTGCTTAGAGTCACGTGGGGATGCTACTCACGAAGAAGACGCATTAAGACGACATATAAAGATATCCGATTAGGGAAGTACTCATATGTCTCTTTCGAGGCGAGAGTCCCGAAGGATGAGGCCCTGGACCAAAGCCGTCGCAGCACAACCATCAATCAATCACTTCCCTCTCAAGCCAGGCAGTGCTCGACTGTGCTCCGCCACTAGGCTTTGCTGCACCCGTGTTACAATGATCATCTCGTTTCGGGATTCCACTCTCTCGCGGATTTGGAACACGAGGTAGTTACGCGCGAAACAGGGCAGTCCAAGGACTCTTCTCAACTTACCTTAGAATACCATTTCGTGGATGCATCAACTCGAGGCTGCAACTAAAATGCCTCCGCGACCCACCACCAGACCTCCTCCGTTCACGCACTTTTTGTGCATCCCCCTAGTGACACCGTCATCCAGACCACATCTTGCACGGGCCCTAGCAGCGTTCCGTGCCGACGTCACGGGGCCCTCCGTCCAGTCCGCTATCCCCCACGATGCCGTGAGGCCGCTCGGCACGTTGCACCTCACACTGGGTATGATGAGCCTCCCGGACGCCGAGGGGATCGAGAAAGCCGTCTCTGTGCTTCGCAGCCTGAAACCGCGCGAGATCCTCGCGGGCATCAGGCCCCTGTCGGAGACCACTCCGCTTGCGGCGGCATCAACGACGGCCAAGGTGGCTGCCGAGACGGGAGGTGCCGGGGCGGTGACGGTGACAGCGTCGGAGACAGTGTTGGAGACAACATCATCGGGCAACAACACGGACAACCCGCAGCTGACGTCGCTCTCCCTCACCTTACGCGGACTTTATTCCATGCAGCAGGCGCGCCAGGCGGCGGTGTTGTACGTCCCGCCCGTGGACCCGCAGGGTGTGTTGCTGGCGTTCTGCGAGGGGCTACGCGCGCCGTTCTTGGAAGCGGGCGTCATGGTGGCCGAGGACCGGCCGTTGTTGCTACATGCTACTGTGGTGAACACGGTCTACGTCCGGAACGGCGGGAGGCGGGGGAGAGGGAGGCGGTTGACGGTGGATGCGCGCGAGGTGCTGGATCGGTATGATGGGCATGTCTGGATGGAGGACGTCCCGCTGGAGAGGATTGCGATTTGTCGAATGGGGGCTAAGGCCGTGGAAGGGGAGGATGAGGCGGCGTATGAGTTGGAAGCTGAGATTGAATTTTGAGCTCTGACCAGGGGAGATCAGGGGGCAGGGCAGTTAACGACGCCTGCGTGAGAGGGTGCTTCATATTATTTGCCTATTCATCACGACTTCCTGTCGCCAATTCTAGAAAACCACGATGCTTATTGATGAGGTGGGTTGTGTGCGCAGTTCCTCCAGGTACCTTACCTTAGCACAGGGGCGGTACCTTAGCGTTCGTAGCCCCTGAAATCTGCATATCCCGCTCGCGTCATATGACTTCAGCACATGCATCTACCCGGATGCTGTCACATCACCCAAACCTCCGACTCCGTAGGTCCCGGGCAACCACAATCAAGGGAGTAAAGCTGACATGAAGACGATCCGCCGAGTGCGCCGCCACGAAACGGGACACTTTAACCGCAATTGAACGAGTCTAAACGGTGCGTCCACCATGCGGGGGTCGGCGCCACACGACGTCGATCCGTCCTAATGACGAAAGATAAAAAGACATCCCGCACTTCGGCGGTGTCCCAGAAACGCCGCGGAGTCCACGCTGCCGCATCTGCATCCTCGTCCTCTATGGCCTCACCTCCTGGGGCCGGAACTGCCAAAAACTCGGACTGTGGCTCTGCTACCCACGTTCTCATCACCTCCTCCGTTCCGTCCCCTCCATCCTCGACCGGCCAGGATGTCAACAACGTCGCCATCATAGCCCCTCCTCCGCGCGCCCAGCTCGGATGCTCGAACGCGACCAGCGGCCCAAGCACGGACGACCGAGGATTCGTCGAAGGAAGCTCCCATAATAACAATAACGAACATGGATTGAAAGAGCGGGAAAACAGCCCGCCCACGGGCCGAGACAGCAGGAGGCCCGACAGCAAGAGCAGCGGCGGCGGCAGCGGCAGCGGCAGCGGTCCGGCGAAACCAACCTCAGCCTCCGCCGCAGCGACGGCCGCCCTCCTGCGCGACAAGGACCAGCGAATCGGCCAGCTGGAACGCGAGCTGGGGGTCATGGAGACGGAGTTCTCGCGCCAACTCGAGCGGCTGGCGCACGCCGAGTGCGACGCGGCCACGGCCTGGCAGGGACGGCTGGCGGCGGTCGAGGGCGAGCTGGGGTTCCTCGGGGCCGAGGCCGAGGCGCTGCGGCGGCAGGTTGCGGAGAAGGAGCGCGAGAGTGTTGGCTTGCGGGCGCAGGTCCGCGGGCTGAAGGCGTTCGTGAGCTCGAGCACCCGCACGGATGGCCAGGCGGCGACATCGGATGAGGTTTTTGGGGATGGCATGGCGAAGCTGGGGAATGGGCTGCAGAATTGGGTTATTGTGCATTTTAGGCGGGCTAAGATTGGTGAGTGGCCGCTTTGGGGGGAGAGAACATGGTGACAGCTGACTGGTTACAGACCTATCCAGCGCCGATGACGAGGTGCGGTATGAGGTGGAGAGGCTGGTGCCCATGTGCGAGGAGCTAGTCTTCACAGCCAAAGTGCACTTCCTTCTGTCTCTCGTTTCGCGGGTTCTGGTGGATATGGTGTTCGATTCTTACTATGTCGGTCTCACCAAGGACCAGGCCCGGGGGTTTCGATACGTGGAGCAAACGCTTCTATCTTACGGTACGCGCCTATGTCGCCCCCAAGAAAGGGGACGTAGAGAGGAGTCTGGCAGACTGACTAAACTCGGTTCATCTCCTGCAGGTTCGCAAGAGACGCTGAATCAATGGCGGTCGTCGACCCTTTCCCTCCTTCGGCGTGAAGGAGACATCAAGATGCAGGAAGAAACAGAAGCGGTGATCCAGGGGGTTATTACGCGACTAAACAGGATTCTGGATGGCATCGCAGATGTCAAGTCTACGGAATCTCGCGACCAGGCCCTAAGGGTGCAAGTCGTGAGCGCCATCGAACTCTCGCGTCTCCTGGCCGTCCAGAAGGCCGTTTTCGACATTCACATGCCGGAAATCCTGCCTCACCAGGAGACCATGTTTGATGGTTCGACGATGGAGGACATTGGCGGAGAGGACGAGGAGACGTTGTCGCGGCGGGATATTTGCTGCGTCACGTTCCCTGGCATCATCAAGCGCGGAGACGAAACGGGCGGGCATCTACAATATCGGAACGTCATTGCCAAGGCGAGAGTCCTGTGCAGTCCTGAGTGATGAAGCGCTCGCTATTCATCCCAGGTAATGAAGTGAAATGAGATGACGGCTTTCTTTGCCCATCCTTCACTGCTCTTCGGTTCTCCCGGACCGGTGGCCCGGCGTTTCTGCAATGCACCTCTGCTCCCATCCAGAAGGCTACACAAAGTCGAGAATTCCTCATGCATACCATCGCGGGAAACCCCTTCCACCGAATACCATCGAAGGGTTTGGTTCCTCGTATACTAGCTTATAATACCTTATAAGGTGGAGTTACTTTTTTAGGACTCTCCCCGCACCCCTAGGTAGGTATAAAGCACAATAAGCAATCATTTCGAGCCGCCCCATATTTTGCGGCCTTACGGTAATTCCGGGAAGCTCGATAGAGTACGTACCCAGAATTAGACGGGCGCATACATAACGTATCCTCCAACACCAGGCCGGCGGCCTTCTCCTTTCTCGGCCAGACTTCACACAACCAACACCAAACCAACATGGTCGTCCTCCGCCGTAAACGAATAGGTCGCCAATCCTGTCAATGGTTCCAAACTGCCACCAACACACATGAGATGCCGAGTAAGCACGGCCTCCGACGGCCAACCAGTCAGTCTTAGCCGGCCTAGTAAGTTGGCTGCCTGGTTATTCGTTGCGCCAAGCCAACAACGAGACCTACCTCGACCGTAGCGTAGGGCCAACGCGAACGACGTTGCGACCCTTTTTCAGGGCATCCGTCGCCCGAACCCACCGATATAAATAAATTCCCTCGCCTTTGCACCATCAATCACAGGTTCCTCGCCATGAACAGCGGAGTGTCAAAAACGCGGGTCTGCCGCTCTCGGATCAAAATATCGAAGGCCTTGCAAGAAGAGCTGCTAGACGCTATCGCAAGCACGGATACAGGTATGAATATTGATGTCTCCCCACACTAGAAGAACAGACCAACTCACCGGACACAGAACTTCCGCAGAACCCCAGAGACCAGTCTCCAGTCACCCCGTCACAATCTACGAAGAGGCGTCTTACGACTTCCGGGATTGACCCGCTACCCGCGAAGAGAACTCGATTAGAGCAGACAGACGCACATCAGTCGGGAATCCAGGACCAGAAGGCAGGGCAGATCGTCAAGGTATAACCAGCAACGCTCCCCCCCCCACACCACAAGCTGACGAGTAAGGACTAACGGAGACCGTGGGCAGGCGACTCTGCAACAGCCAGCGCCTAAGCATCCTCCTCAACAGTCGTACGCCTCGTTTCTCAAAGACTTGGTCGATCCCGCCCCTTGGATTCATCCCAGCCATCCCGAGCCTGTCCACGCCTTTGTTTTCGAGTGGCTCGAATCCGTCGGGTCGGACCGAGAGGCGCACTGCCGATCGGATAGCCATCTGCACCGTTCGGACAGCAGCCCGGTTCCAAGACAGTCCACGAGATCGGCGCCCGACATGCCTTCCACACGGGATGCCGATGGGTACGCGGTGCCAGTGCCACCGACGCCGAGTTCTGCTGGGTCGCGGTCGCGTCGACCCAGCCCAGGGAACAATAGTGTGGTATCTGGTGCTTCCAGTCCATCCTCCGGTGTTCGCCATTTGAACTACCGCCAAAATAACCTGAGATCGAATGGCATGGAGATCCAACGGTACAACACTCCCCTACCGGACGCGGTATCCGGTCATATCAATAGCATGTTACGTGCGCAGCGGGACTCCCCCGAGTTGTCGTCCGATGAACTGAGGCGGGCCATGGACGGAGTGTGCTATCTCGCAGATGGGTGCAACGAGGACGACGTGGCGAGGTTTCTGGATCGAACAATACTTCCGGACACCAAGGTCGACCCAACCTATGGCCTGGACACGGGTCTGGCGAGCAGCTCTAATTCACTCATGTCTCAACCTCTCGTTCCTGCCATCCCTGGAGCCCACCACAGAGTGAGTCAGCCGAAGCCTGACAGGCTTTATGGATATTCGGGGGATGGACGAGAAGCGTTTACGGATGCGCAGTTCGTAGCTCACGGCATGATCCACCCACAATACGTGGACTATCCGATTGCGACGCAAGGCCTTAGGTTTCCCTTCTTCGTCGTCGAATTCAAAGCGGCCGGGGGTACGGGCGGCGATCTCTGGGTGGCTGCGAATCAGTGTGCGGGCGCTTCGGCAGCTTGCGTCAACGCTGCCGACCAGCTGAACGTCGCGCTTCGAGAGCATCAGAGCGTGCACCGAGTCGACAACTTGTCCTACTCCATCGCTGTGGAGAACAATACGGCCCAGATGTACGTATCGTGGAAGGAAGAGAATCTGCGGCATTATATGCGACGGGTCGATGCTTTCCTGCTGTCGAGCCCGGAGCATTTCAAGAACTTTCGCAAGCAGGTCCGGAACATCCTTGATTGGGGGAAGGATAAACGCCTGAAACAGATCGGGGACGCTTTGGACACGATCCTCGAGGAAAACAGGAAGCAGGCTGCGGAGCGTGCCAAGACCCGCGAAATGCCGATGGAACCGTCGCTTGAGCAGAGGAAGGACAGTCGTCATCGGCCGGCGTTAGCGGAGCCCGCATGTCTTCTGGGAGGGACGGTTACTCATGGAGACCATTAGCGAGCAAGTATTTCTGGATAAAAGTCCCCTGGATTTTGATTTTCGTCTCATCGTTGCGGCAATCCAAGATGGCAGCTTGGCCAGTGAGAAGAATAATCAACGACGCCAAAGGAGCTCAGCGAGGTACGGTATCGACACATAAACGAGGATTCAGCCAGCGTACGAGTCTCTGCGCTGCGTTTCCCCAAATCCGAGGAGCTCACATTTTGCAACAAGACAGAGTCTCTCACGGCTGCTACAGGCCCGTTCGTGGATGCACCCCCGGGGTAACATCTCACAGAGTGAAGTACAATGCATTGTACCTTACCCTACCTTACCTAAGCATGTACTACGTGTACTGGTGTTGTTTGCGGGGCAATTTAAGCCACAATTACAATGACCAATCATAGACCTTGTGTGTTCCGACAATGCTGATACGGTACTTGATGTATCGATCGTGACCATGTCGCCACCCACCACGGAGCCTTGAATCTTTCACATTGCAAACCACGAGCAATCAACAACTCAGTTATGGGGAGAAAAACAGTCAAACATATACCACAGAACATGCCTCGATTTCCTAGCAGCTGTCAAGTAGCGAGACATTGCAGTTGTAACATCCGCATATTCTCGTCCAACCTGAGAGTCCCGTCAGTTACCAAGTGGATTCTGACTCGAGAGTCTTATATATCGAGTCTCTTTCTTTAACAGAGACGGAGAGGCTCCTTGATAAGGCGGTCCCGCTCCGACTAACAGGCAATGCAGACGGTCACAGCAAGTGACTCGAAAAAAAGAGGAACAAACAGCAGTCGACTTGAACAGATCTCTCCCGCCGCCCGCCGCCCACCACCCGGGAAACAAAACAGCTACTCCTCGGTCACCCTCCGGGGAATGGAATGTGCTCCCGCCATACTCCCCGCAGTCTCGCACATTTGCAGCCAGCAAGCGCAGAGAGAAAGAGGGAGAAGAAGCCATTCCCCGTAGGCCCCCGCCCCCTTCCCACCTTCTTCGGGTGACGTGCGTATCTAGATCAGCATCCACATGCAAGTGTATAGCTGCTGCATACGCCGTCAGCATCTAGTCTGCTTCAGAGTGACGCTCTCGGCTGTCTGATAGCTTAGGTAGTCCCTCGTGTTGGTCGGTCTGTTCTCCGTTTCGTGGCTATCGCTGTTGAGTCGGCGCACGTTGTAGAGCCTACCCGAACCCCTCTTTCATATCCGTGCTCTTTTAGATATCTCTTCTCTTCTGCTTTCCCTTGCCCAGTTCCTCTCTGAAAGACCAAGGTAGCTAGGGTCTTTTTGGATCTGCACCCCTCCCTGCACCTAAAGATAAAGATACCACCTCCAACATCCATCTGCATGGCACCGTCGTCTCGTCGACGTGCCTCCAAGCGTTACTCTTGAATACCTGTATCAATATATATTTAAATGTATATGTATATAAGGTATATATATATATATATATATACCCTTCTCTGAGAGCACCCGTTTTCCTCTCCGACTTGTGCTCGACACTTGACTTTCCAATCTCACTTCACCTCCTGGAGAGGATCATCGCTGCACACTTACTGCAGCTTGTTGCTATCGTTCTTTTCCCCTCCGTCTTCACTTCTTCTTTTTTGGCTCTCAGTCATCATGAGGAGCTTCGCAAGCCAGAATCGTGGAGTGCACAGAATGCACGCCTACCTCGACGTCTTCGACCAATCTTTCCAACGCACACCCGTGCCAGAGTCCACCCCTTACCGACACTCCTCAGGCTCTTTTCACGACGCAGAGACCCCCCGCAACGTCAATCTCTGGTCGGATACCTCCTCCGTCTCCTCGAGTCCAACCGACATTTCTCGCACCTCCAGCATCTTCACAACGCACCCTGCTGCCGGCTTGAACACGCCGACCGTGTATGCCCTCTCCGAAGCACCCTCCACCCAGCCCCACGGCCTCGACCCTTTCGACCTATACCTCCTCCACGCCTCTCACGCCTCTCACGCCACTCCACCACCCCAAGGCGACGCAGCCCACCCCCCCTCGCCCTTCCTCCCCTGCGAATTCTCCCGCTACACCGGCTGCCCCACGACCTTCCCGGCCGACGAGCTGGGACTGAACCAGTACATCGACCACATGTCCTCCCTCCACCTCCACCACAAGCTCCCGCCCCGCTGCAGCTGCTGGTGGTGCGACGACTTCCTCTTCGACGCCAACCACCCCAGCAACGGCGGCGACCGGGCCCGCAACTTCTACAACCGCATGGCCCATATCCGCAACCACGTCAGCGACGCCGCCCTCTGGGGAGGCGTCGCCGGGGGCGGAGGCGGGGCCGCCGTCGCGTCGTCTCTCCTGGCCGCCGCGCTGCACCAACACCGCCGTCCGGACTTCTGGATGCTGGACCATCTCTGGGGCGAGCGCCTTATTACCCGGGAGGCGTACGACAGGGAGCGGGGGATCCGCGAGGCGCCGTGTCCGGAGGGGATTTACCCGGCTGGGTGGCGGCCTCCTGTCCCTGAGCGGGCGATGGGGGTGGAGGATGACCTGCAAAAAGAGGAGAGGCGGCGGAAAAGAGCACGGGGAGACGGAAGGACGGGGAGGAGTCGGCGTGCGGGTGCGGTGGGGGGGAGGCGTGGACACATTTGAGCTGAGGGCTGGAGTCCCCCCCTTTGCGAAGGGCTGGAAGGTGAAAAGGGGCCTTCGTTGTGTGAGCTACCTTGGCCACAGCATACGTTGGTTGTCCCACGAGGTGGCTGATCAGTACCACCACACAACTTGTACTTCGTATGGCTCTGGGAGATTCTGGGTTGGACAGCGTTGTTTAACCATCGTTATGTTATGCATGCTCTTTGGTGTCTTCTTACTTATACTTGGACAGGCGGTACTTGGTCTTGCACTCGGAGTATTCAGACCTGGCAGATTTGGTTATACGAGAACTTATACCCCTGAATGATACTTATGCCCGTAAAAACCACTGCTCCCATAGCTCTTAGTACAAGGGTTGAAAACGAAGGTAGGGACCGTCATTCACAAGTGGCCGAGAGAAATTATGAACAGAAATCACACTTGAGCAAGGCGCTTCAAACGGCCTTGTGGCTTGTTTACGCCTCAAAGTTGGTGAGGGAACCAATTCTATATCGTGATGCCGTTGACACCACATGATATCCCATCATTCGACCCAGAGAGGCCCCGTTTTCTGTTATTGTAATGACTCGCTTATACACATCAATGGACCTGTGTAACGGCCCTCTACAGTCCAACAAGAGTACAACACTCTAAGCTACGCCTTCATAAAGTCTCGTGGTCTCTTCTCTTTGTCCCTCTAGTGGAATTCAGCCTCGACCCGACCGTACCGCACCCCGTCCACCTTCAGCTCGAACCCCAACCCGGCGCTATCAACAATCATCTCCAGAGTGAAATCAAGGTTATCAAACTCCACGCCGCGCGTAGTCGTCAACCGCGTGAAAAGACTACGCGGCACAGCACTGAGGTCGGTGGTCAGGGTGCACACCGACACGAGGAGGTCGCGGGTATACGCGGCCGGCGGCTCGTCCGCGGCGCAGGCGATGAGGTCATCCGTGACGACCAAGCTCTGGCCGGGGCGGAAGTTGCGGGTGTAGTGGAACGCGATGGGCGAGGACGGGGAGATGGCCTGCCCCTTGGCGATGTGCCACTGCATGCGGTCCGAGACCATCCACCGCTCCCACAGCGGCGACCAGTAGCGCTCGCTGACCGAGTGCTTCGCCTCGTCGTAGACGGTCGCGTACGACGTGCCGTAGTGCATCCGCGCCTTGCGCGAGATCACCATGCTGCCTTCCACCCCGCGCAGCACGGCGCCCCGGACCACCGCCGTCCATGCGTATACCGGCTGCATGACCTCGATGGACGCCTCGTCTTGCGGCGCGGCCATGTTCGCGTGCGTGGGGCGCTCGGTGTAGGGCGGGGGCGCGGCGCTGGCGAAGTGCAGTTTGAGGCGGCGGTAGAGGTAGTCGCTTTGCCCGAAGCCGCCGACGAGCACGATGCCGGAGACGACGGCGCCCTTGGTGCGGAGGTTGTCGACTTGGCCCCGGACGAGGTCGCATACTTCCTTGACCACGGGCTCGAAGATGTCCTTGATCTGGTCTGCCGTCATGATGAGGAAGCCGCAGTCGAGACCCGCCTCCTCGTCGTCGGGTAAGCCGGGGAATCTGGGAAGAGGGAGGTTTTGTCTGTGTTAGAGCGGGCAGGGGGTGTGAGGGGGGAGTAAAGAATATATGCGGATGAAAAAAA